CCTTATTCCTGCACCTATGAGGGATACGTTCTGACAGGACGCATTCGTGTAACCTGTAAAGAGTATGTTCCCATTCACTACATTGGAATTGTATGAGAAGAAGAGAAATGAAATTTGCCTCCCACCTCCTGAAGAAGACCTTGGAAGCTTGGAGCAAGAATATGGCTGAATTTTACTTGATCTGTTCTCTTCAATCGTATGAAGCATGCTTTTGAAAGGAAATGCATTTTAACAAAAAAAAAAATGTCTCTTTAAATAGATCTGGACCTATAGTTTTGAAGCCAGCAGCCTTGTGATTCCCATTTTCATGACCTCTTCCCTTTCTTCTCTATACCAGGGCTTTTCAACCTTTCCACACATTGTGCCACTTTTAGGATATGGCAACGTCCAAATACCACCAGTCGCCTAGCAAGATGTCAAAAACTTGATGACCAAAAAAAAAAAAAAAGGAAAAAAGTGATAAAGTACAGATAGTCCTCGACTTATAACAGTTTGCTTAGTGACTGTTGGAAGTTACAATGGCACTGAAAAAAGTGTTCCCCAAGCCACAGCCAAGCAAGACACCTGCCTGCCTGCCCGGTGGTGCTCTTCCTCCTGTCTGAGGTGTTCATTGTTGTGAGCATTTCTGTTGAGGATTGGCAGTGGGGGTGGGGGGGGATGTTTGGTTTTTACTCCCCCCCCCCATCTGCTGGGTGGTTGCAACAGGTTTTGGTCACTTCACATGACCCTGGGACACTGTGACCGTCATAAATATGAATTAGTTGCCAAGCATCTGAATGTAAATCACAAGACCCTGGAGATGTTGCAATATTCCAGGTGATCAGCACTTCTTCTGGGCTCAGCCGAAGCATGAGGATCAGTGCTGCTTTCCAGCATGATTGGTGCTTCTTCAGGGTTCAGCAGAAGTGCCAGGATCAGCGCCGAGCTCCAGCTGGACCCTGGCGCTGATCCTGGCACTTCCGCTGAGCCCTGACAGCCCTGCAGCTCCAGCCATCTCTTGCTCAAGCTTGTGCGGTGCTGCCATCAGTTCAGCTCATTCCCCTCCCCCGCTACCACTTTTCTAGGATGGTCGTGTACCACCTGCCAGGTGCCAATGTACCACAGGTGGTACTCATACCACTGGTTGAAAAGCCCTGCTCTATAACATCCATAATTAGCAAGACAATTGCCCTTTCTTCCTGTCCTCTCCACCTTCTCAGAATTAATCTGATGCTAAACCTGAATCTAACTGGTAGTAGAGATATAAATCTGGCTGCACATTTGCCTAATAAACAGCTTTCTTCTCAATGCAGAGTATTGTTCTGCCCAATTAAGTTCAAAGGGTACCCTATACCCTTTCTTTTCTCTCCCCTCAGCAATATTTAGTGGAGCCATACTGGAAATTATCCAGGAGCTTGGAAAGCCATCACAGACCATGTGGTAACCTAAGGTTCTTCGAGGTTCCATGTAACACTTTGGAGTCCATATTTAGAAATCGATCTTGAAACTCTTCAACTTCTACCCAAATTCTGAAGGCCCTAAGAGCAACACACAAGACCGTGGAATGCTATCTTGGCTTCTCAAATTTAATTAAGTCATATTGCTCCCCCCCCCCATCTCATCCCACCCCCTAGATTGCCCTTACCCATCCAATCAATCCAACCAGAGATGTTACTCGTTTAGGCTCCCTACATTTAGTTTCTCATTCTCCTACATTAGCAAGACTTTTTTTTTTTACTTCCATTTCTAAAAATGTGAACATTTTACATAAAGTCCATCATACCAGCCTTAACCTCAAACGTTAGCACAAATATGCTGGATAAGTACAAACCTATTATATGGGAAGAAGAAGGTTAACAGGATTCGCAAAAAGATAAAGCAAAGAAGACCTCAAGTTTACAACCAAAAAAGTCCGCCCTGCCTCTCACCCATGATTGAAATTAGGTCCTTGCTATCTCATTTAGTTTTGGTTTGCCTACAGCAGCTGGTTTTACAGGCATGTGAAAAAAGTAAGTACACCCTCTATGATTTTATGTATCAGGACACAGTAAAAATAATCTGGTCCTCAGCAGTTATTAAAAGTAGACAAATACAACCTCAGAAGAACAATAATTCTATTCCGAGTCCTTGAATCTCAGAGTCAACATTTAGTAACTAAAAATGTGACTTTGGAATTTTTATCAAGTAAAGCAAACACATTTCTCAAACTTCCCTGGGAAGATTGTAAAAAAAAAAAAGGCCATATCAATTTAAGACTGAGAATCTGGGTCAAACTAGCCACCTATTAGGACATGTTCAATATGGGAACCCAAATAAACCTGAAAAAATACCCACTGTGGTTAGTTTAATTATTTTGTTTGGTTTATATTTAAATATGACAGGATGTTTTTATCTTTTGGCCATTCTAATTCCGAAATGGAGATATATCACTTCACAGAAATCATTGCAACCAACAGCCCATCCATTTCCTTTTTGTGATTCAAATTGTCTTGCATAGCTCAAGCAAGCAAAACACTCAGTATTGTTGCCAAAACAAGCAAACAAATCAGGGTTGACATGTCCATGAATTTAGCAGGCACTAGATATTGACCTTAAACATGAACCAAAATTATGCAAGTAAAATTCACTTACAAAAGCTAAGACTCTGAAAAGCCAGCAATGAAAGAAGGCTGGAGATTGCATAGTCTGTGGGTTACCTATCCTTCTATTATACCAATTCCATTTCTTTCTGATAGTAGTTAATCCTATCAGGAATCAACTTTAAAAATAAATATTTAATATATGAATGTTACTGTAAATACATTTTTAAAAATCAAACTAAAATTTTAGAAGTGGAAAGCAATCTTTGGCCTCTGATCTTTGTCTATCTTCCAGCTACCATAGTTTAAAAACAAAAATAAAATCGCTTCTGGTTCTGGATCGCGGTGCCAGCGGATGTACGAAGAGAGCCCTCTCTCCGCCGTCTGGTTTCCCTCTCTCCGCCGTCTGGTTTCGAGAGACCCTGGAAAAGGTTGAAAGTCGCCCTGGAAGGGCGACCACCACTAAGAAGGACCCTTGTATGATCGCAGAAGGGCGGAAGCCCTTCCGTTTGATCTGAGGCAGCTCCTTTGGATTGACGAAGAAAAGATTGGGCATTAACATGGCCAATCACCTAGCCCAGTAGTTCTCAACCTTTTTACTGCCATGACCCCCAACCAGTCGTAAGTCGAGGACTACTCAACTGGTCGTAAGTCGAGGACTACTCAATTGGTGCAGCAACATTTGCAGAATGGGACTTTTGGCGGGCTCAGCAGGGCAGAGACAGCCTAGACAATTCCTATTGGCTTTTGAAAGCCAATAGAATTAGACTCTATTCAAGAGAGTCTATTCTATTGGCTTTCAAAAGCCAATAGAATAAAAGGGAGTAGCACAGCTAAGGAAAAGGGGGAAAAATGGTGGACTGCGTTGTTTGGCGACCCCCGTGAAATGGTCGTTCGACCCCAAATGGGGTCCCAACCCACAGGTTGAGAACCACTGACCTAGCCATACCAGCTGAAAGCCAAAAGTACTACTAAGCAAAATGAAGTACCATGGAAGATCTGGGTGAGAACCTTTTTTATCTTTCTTTTACCCTAACTACCTACCTTCCTGTGAAAGCTTCCTGAAACTTCTTCCCTGCTCTTAATACAGTGGCGTTTGCATACCTTTGGAACAAAAAAATATATATCGAATTTTAATAATTAAATAACTGGATTTTTATTTTTTCCCTCCTATTTTTTGAGACTTGGGGGTCCCAAAAAGTTCCTATCATAGACTCAGCATCTTATCTATCTACTAAGTCTGAAAAATCTCTTTTTTCACTTTTTAATTGGATAAAAGCCTACTGATGTCTGGGAAAAATATTTCATGGTGTGAGGCCTGCTGACTCTCTTGATTTGTCCTTCATATTATCTAAGGAAAAGATAAGTGGAAACAGCTGGGTGGTGAAAATAACTTTTAGAAATTGTGGAGGTGGACATTTGCTGATTTTTACTAAACATAGCCTCCACTAAAGGACTGTCTCTAATCACTATGGAAATCACAACTTAACTATAACTTAACTTAATCACAACTTAACTATAAACTTATACTTAAAAAAATTCTTGAAGCCACTGATTTAATGAATGCCAGAGTGAAAGCCAAAGATGCTACCCAGAAGCTACAAATTGAACCCCAACTTTAACTGATCAACTTATAAACCAAAAAACAACAGAAGATATTGATATTCCAGCAGCCGTTCCTTATATGCTTTAGCCTCCAGTCCTCTAATCATCTTTGTTGCTCTTCTCTGTACTCTTTCTAGAGTCTCAACATGTGAGGGCAGAGTCCTTTTTATTATCTGGGCTTAAAGGAGCAGGATTTAGTTTGAACTATGAATGAGTTGGAAGATGTATTTAACTGGGTTAATGTAATTCAGCTTTCTCCAAAGAGGTCATTACTGACCCCTAAGAGTTGATGGGACTATCCAAGCAGTTTATTATTATTATTATTCCTAGTTCTATTAGTTAAAGTAGTATTTACTAATTTTTAGTCATATAATAAATGTTTGGGTGTCGAACAATCTGAAACTTCATCAAGTTGTTAAACTCAAGAGTTTGGGGAGCTTAAAGAAATTCAATTCATTTTATAATTCAGCACCCATATTTGGTCAGAAAGACATTTAGGGGGAGACTAAAAGTGACCATTCTCATGAAAACCACTAAGCACCCAGAGTAATCTTAAAAGCCCAGAGCTCTTTTAAAAGTGGTCCCTAAGTTGTAATTTCAAAGACTGTATGTGGAGAAATGATTATATCCATGAAACAGAACCATATAGAATATATTCTATTGTTTTGTTTTAATTAAATGTTAACTAAATTGTCATCAAAATTAAGTCATGCGGTAGTTTATTTCCCTTCTGGCCCCAAATACCTTTGAGACAGTGGTCTAGACACACAGTTCTCAGCAACACAGAGGATATGGATTTTTGGAAAACAGTCTCCATTCATTTCCACTCAGACCTACCTTCTCCTTAAAAGATCAGTTCATCCTTCTAACGAAAAGTAACTGTGAAGAAGAGAAAGGAGACATTCCACATAGAAGCCAAAGTCCATGGAGAAAGGGGAAGATCAGATATGAGTTATAACCACCTGGACATGCCTTCATAAAAGTCTCTTGATCCATACACAGTGATAAAAGCTCAAGAGGCTTCATTCCATGGCTTGTATTCTGAAATGAAACATAGAGATTAGGGTATAAATAGGAACTCTCCAAACGAAAGTTATCAGAAGAAACCCAAACTTTCATTTCTTTTCCAAGGAAAGCTTCTACACATCGACATTTTTTTTCACCAGGAGGGTAAGTATGAAACTACTTTGATCTACACTGTTCTGAGGCTACTTTCCATACATTGCTCTTTGATCCTTTCTCTCTATATGCTCTGGAGTTTGCAAACAGCCATGGTTTCTTTCTATCCTCCCAAACTTTTCAGAATTACTCATGGAGTAAACTTGAACCTAGCTGGCAATAGTGATACAGAATTATATTAATGTACCTGGTGAATCTCTTAATGAAGTAGATTTCTTTCTTTGTATACAGACTAGTTGGGGGCTTAAATTTGGCTCAGAGTGTACCTGTATACTTTCTTCCCTCTCCCTCACACATTTAACTGGACCATACTGTGTCTTTGGCAATCATTCTGGCTTTAACCATAGTTCATTATTTATTAATAGATCATTAGATTTTGGTGTAGAGGTTAAAGTACCTGACTAGAAACTAGAAAACGGCAAGGTCTAGTCCCGCCTTACGCATGAAAGTCCTCTGAGTGACCTTGGGCCAGCCATTTTCTCTCAGCCCAATTCATGTCAGAAGTTGGATTCAGCCTGGGGAGACCCAGGATCCCATACCCCCAGGTTCCCTCCATGGCTTTGGGCCAATCATTTTCAGCCAGCATACTTCCCAGATTTATTGTGATAGGGATAAAATAAAGTATGATTCTTATTTACATTTCCTTCGGTTCTTGGAAGTCAGGGAGACCAAAGATCTAATAAGAAAGATAATTATCAAGGAAAATCATGGCTGGTAACCAGGCTCATTTTTAGTTTCTCATCAATTATATCTTTAGGAAATAAAAATGAGAACGTTTCAGTTAGGCAAACTAGGATAGCAATTTTCTCTGCCAAAAAGGGTAAACATTTGAGATAAGTGAGGGGAAAGCTATCCACGCACACTATATGGTTTAGAGGAAAGTCCAGATCAACATGCAAACAGAGATCAGGGTTTGACCTTAAAAAGCAGAACAACACATCCACAGGTTCATTGCAATGGAGAGGTCAAAGTAATAGCCTATTCTTGTCTGCCAAAACAGTTGTTGATCCCAGAGGAAAAGTAAGTAAGAAACTCAAATAGACTGGACATCTCTGGCTCCCAGAAGCTCCCAGAAATCTCCTTCTGTCAGCGAGAGGGAGAGGCTTCTATCAAAACAGGAAACAAAATCTCAACATTGGGAAATATAGAAGTGGACAACTTGAGGTCCCAGGACTGAACCCATCCACATGGACCATTTCTGTGACCCTGACCGACAGGGTTATTACAGTCAGCAACCGACAGGGTTATTACAGTCAGCAACCACATTACACACATTACACACAGATTTTAAGGCTGCAAACAAACAAGAGAATTCAGAGTCCATTGTTCAAAAATATTCTTTGATACGTTGCAAGCCATCCAAAGTTGGGTGACTATATGAATTTCTTAGAGATGATAAATAGATGGATAGATAGATAGATAGATAGATAGATAGATAGATAGATAGGCAGGCAGGCAGGCAGGCAGGCAGGCAGGCAGGCAGGCAGGCAGGTAGGCAGGCAGGCAAAGTCATAAAATGGGGCAAAATTCACTTAACAAATGTCTCAGTTAGCAACAGAAATTTTGGGCTCAGGTGTGTTCCTGTTCAGAATGTTCTTACTCTAAGATCTGATTTTTTTAGCCTGCTCTTAGGTAGATTGGAAAGTTTGTTTCAGTTTTGCATCACCTAGAGGAAATATTGAAAACAGATAAAAAATATCTCTCTGTCTTTTGTATAAATGTCTCTGTTTGTGTACCTGAATTTCTATTTATGTATCTGTATGCATTTGTATATACAGATAAGTCCTCAATTTACAACCATTTGTTTTGTGGCCTTTTGTAGTTACCATGGCACTGAAAAAAGTGACTTATGATCAGTTTTCACACTGCTGACCATTGCAGCATCCCCAAGGTCAGACGATCAAAATTTGGACAGCTTGGCACCTGAAATGTATTTATGACAATTGCACATATCATCACCATTTGTAATCTTCCCAGCTGGCTTCCAACAACCAAATCAATGGGGGAAGCCCAATTTGCTTAACAACTGCATGATTTATTTAACAGCTGCAGTGAAAAGGTCATAAAGTGGAGCAAAACTCAGTTAACAACTACTTTGTTTGGCAATAAAAATTTTGGGCTCAGCTGTGGTCATAGGTTGAGGACTACTTGTATATACAGTAATGGCCAAAATTGTGGAAACCTTTTGGGAAAAGTGTACAGTAGAAATGCCACCTTTGAATATATTACGTGTGTATGTGTGTAATGTTTGTTGTGTTTTGTTTTGTTTTGTTTTGTTGGTCTAAAATAATAATAAAAAAAATTAAAAAAAAAAGAAATGCCACCTTTGGTTAAGTTTCCACCATTTTTTTCTAATTTCTTTATAACTGTAGCCTTGTTCACTTAATAATACTATTTTACATTGCTTTCTGGGCAACCAGTCAACTCTTTGCACCATTACTTTAATTTTATTATGTTTTACAAGCTCACTAAATGAAAGAACACAAAAAACCCAACCAGCTTGATAGCGATCACATAACACACTGACAAATGTCCTCCTCTCAGCTTCAATACATGACATCAATAACTGAATCCTACTGTGATCTGATTGGCTCATTGCCAAAACAAGATGACACCTGATTGGCTCTCTAAACACTCATGCTCATTGGCTACAATCAGATGAAGGAAAGCTACCTGATATCAACCTAAGCAAGTTGTGCTACCTTTTTCTGGTTATTTGGCTATAACTTTTCATAGAATACAGTACAGATAATGGAACAAACTTTGTTGCATTACATTCTTGATTAAATTATCTTTCCATTGATATATAATTTTATGGTACTACTCCAAAAAAGTGGTGTTATTAGCCATCAAATCTCAAAAATACACTTTTCCCTTTGACAGAATTGGTGTTCAAATCACAAATAAAATTAGATACTTAGGGATACAATTGACTGCCAAATGTGCTATGCTTAAAAGGGATAACTATGATAAGTTAATAGAACAGATTCAAAAAGACTTTGATATTTGGACTAACCTACAGCTCTCTCTTATGGGCAGAATTGTGGTGATTAAAATGAATGTGTTGCCAAAAATCTTATTTTTGTTCCAATGTATACCTATAAAATTAGACAAGAATTTTTTTCAAAATTTGAATAAAATGATGTGTAAATTCGTCTGGCAAGGAAAAAGAGCAAGGATTAAATTAAAATTACTGCAGGACTCAAAGGAAAGGGGGGGATTTGGTCTTCCAGACTTGGAGAAATATTACCAGACTACAGCATTAGTATGGGTAAGAGATTGGATATTACTAAAAAACAGGAGACTATTCTGTCTGGAGGGCCATGACCTACAAATAGGATGGCATGCCATATTATGGGATCATAAATATAAAGTACATAAATATTTTCGAAGCCACTATATTAGGCAAGCTCTTATTGATGTATGGACAAAAATTTGGCAACCAAATTATACCCAAGTACCTAGTTGGATCTCACCGTTAGAAATATATGTACACCCAAAATTTACTCAATTAGATAAGACCATAACATATAAAAACATCTTAGATGAAAGAAGGGAATTGAAATCCAGGAAAACCCTCCAGGATGAAGGGATAGAATTAGAATGGTGGGCATACCTGCAACTGCAGGCGAGATATCGGAAAGACAAAAAAGAGTTAGGCATTAAATTAGAACCAATAGAATTGGATAAAATAATTTTGGGGTCGGAGGATAAAATGATTAAAAAATTATACTACTATTTGTTAGATCAGGCAATGTACGAGGAACAAGTAAAAGTGACTATGTTGAATAGGAGCAAGGACTTTGGTCTTAATTTTGATCTGCACATCTGGCAAGAACTATGAGCAAGAAACAAGAAGCTTACTTTGGCCACCTCTTACAAAGAGAACCTTTACAAAATGTTTTATAGATGGCATCTCCCACCCACAAGATTGGCTAAAATGTGTACCAATGTCTCCCCTAAATGTTGGAAATGTAATTTGAAAAGTGGAACTTACTATCATATGTGGTGGGAATGCACGTGAACTCGTGATTTTTGGAACAGGATTAAAGTATGGTTGGAAGAAATATTAGAGCAAGCGGTTGAACCAAAACCAGAACTCTTCCTATTAGGTTTAACTAAGCAAAAGCATGACAAAGGCGTACTTTATTTAATGCTACACATTTTAACGGCTTCCAGACTGTTTTTTGCTCAAAATTGGAGGAATAAGGGAACCCCAACGGAGGAAGAGATCCTGCATAAAATTCTATCATGTGCTGAGATGGACAGGCTTACAATGATTATGAAAGACAAGACAGAACACGAATACTTCGAAATCTGGAGCAAATTTTACTGTTGGTATGAATTAAGAACTGCTCGGACTTCAAGTTAATGGTAGAATTAAAAGATATACATAACTGTACATATAATTGTATATATAATTGTATTGTATAGAGGATGAGGCTTATATAGAGGTTAAGAACGATGTATTAAACTTTTGTACCATGATAGGAACTGATAGGAAAATTCATTCTGGAATGTCATGTTTGTCCATTGTTGTTTTAATTGTATTATGAATAAAAATTATTTAAAAAAAATACACTTTTCCCAAAAGGTTTCCACAATTTTGGCCACTACTGTATATAGAGACACACACATACAGATATACAAATATTTAATTTAGAACTAGGTAAGGAGACCAGTTGGACCATAAGAAAGGCTGAGCGACAAAGAATTGAGGCCTTTGAACTATAGTGCTGGAGAAGACTGCAAGGCATTCAAACTGGTCAGTCCTAGAAGAGATCAACCCCGACTGCTCTTTAGAAGGCCAGATCCTGAAGTTGAAACTCAAATACTTTGGCTGCCTAATGAGAAGGAAGGACTCACTGGAGAAGGGCCTAATGGTGGGAAAAATTGAGGGCAATAGAAGAATGGGATGACAGAGAATGAGGTGGCTGGATGGAGTCCTTGAAGCAGGAGGCGTGAATTTAAATGGACTCCAGAAGATGGTAGAGGACAGAAAAACCTGGAGGAACGTTGTCCATGGGGTCGCAATGGGTCAGACACGACTTCACAATTAACAACAACAAGGAGACCACTCAGTACACAAACCACAAGGGCCCACAGCTCAACTGCATATCTAGCCATTACCTGAGAAGTTTTAATGTTAGATGAGGAAGTCAGAGGATCCCTTAGAATAGTGATGTCAAGTGCAGGAAATTTTAGAAGTCCATGCAGTTCAAATGAATATACAGGTTTATTGCAAGCTTAAGTTCTCTACAAGAATCTTAACTATTAGTGGTCAAAGCAAATTGGCAGTAGATAAGAGTCAATGAAATTCAAGGTGGGCTGGACTTTGATCTCTTGTGGGCATGAAGAGACTTGAGACTAATGACCAGTTGACCCCTCCCTCAGAGTCAGGCTGGTCATCTGCTACAATTCACCTCTCATTTGCTTCTAATCTCCGCAGATTCCCGGAGTCTCCCACCATGCTTGCCTCCAAGGTCTCCTGCTTCCTGATAGTTTCTTTGGCCTTTATTTTGGGGGCTCTACTGGCCGTGTCCAGCCAAGGGCAAGACTGGGCAGAATTTCAGCGGAAACACATCGACAATAGTCCATACCCACCTATCAACCCCAGATTATACTGTGAAAACATGATGCGGTTTCGACGCATGACCTGTCCTTTTTGCAAACCCCGCAACACTTTCATCAATGCCCCTGCCTACACAGTCCATCAACTCTGCCAATACATCAGGGGTCCATCTGCCATTACCAGCAGATTTAATTTCAATTTGGTCGACTGCTGGTATACCAGTGGCCTTCCTCCCCTTTCCTGCAACTACCGAGGAAGCGTGTTGTCAAGTCGTATTCGTGTAACCTGTGAAAATTATGAGCCCGTTCACCTCAATGAAATTTTATGAGAGGCAAAGAAGTGAAATTCTTCTTCCATCTCCTGAACAAGACCCTGCAACCGTAGACCAATGATTCAGCGCCGTTTTGCTTTATCTCTTCACTTCAATGATATCAAGCGTGCTTTTGAAAAGAAAGGTCTTCTAACAAAAATCCTCTCTTTAAATAGATCTGGACATGAGGTTTTGAGGCCAGCAACTTTGGGATCCCACTTTGCAAGGTCTCCTACCTTCCTCCTTCTCTATAATGTCCATACTTAGCAACGAACTGCCCTTATCCACAGTACAGTTTATTTCAACTTGGTTGATTGCATGCATCGGTGGCTCTCTGCCTTATTCTTGCAACTATCAAGGAAACGAGATGCTTTTGTGTAACCTGTGACACTTATCTGCCCGTTCACTTCGTTCAAATTGTATGAGGAGCAGAGAAGTAAAACTTGTCTCCCATCTCCTGAAGAAAACCCTGGAAGCTTGGACAGAGAATTCAGCTCACTTTTGCTTCATCTCTCCAATTATATCAACATTCATTGGAAATAAAATGTATTTTTAACAAAAATTCTGTCTTTAAATAGATCTGTACCTATAGTTTTGAGGCCAGCAGCTTTGGGATCCTAATTCACATGCCCCCCCCCTTTTTTTTCTTCTTTATACAGTCCATAGTGAGCAACACATTTGCCCTTTCATCCTGTCCTCTGTACCTTCTCGGAATTAATCTCATGCTAAACTTAATCTAACTGGTAGTAGAGTTATAAATCTGTCTGCAGATTTGCATAATAAACAGCTTTCTTTTAAATACAAAATAGTTTCAAAGTGTACTCTATGCTCTTTTTTTCTCTCTCTCTCTCTTCCCTCAGCAACCTTTAGATCTCCGGTTACTTCCTGCCATTCTGCTGTTTACAGAAAACAATAATCCTGTTGGAGAAAGAAACATTTGCATCTTGATTTCAGGTATTGAAATAAGACTCTGCAATGCCATATTCTTTATGTCTCAGTTTATTTATGAAACAATCCCATTCATCTGAAAATTGAACTTCCCTACAAAAAGGTTAGAAGATCTCCATGTTTACTGAAAGTTGGGTCCAATACATTTAAAAGAAGGGAGTAAATGCATGGAAAGCCAAGTTAATTGCACTCAATGGGACTTCCTATGTAGATGTGCAATCACCATTCATTTCCATTCTGATCCACTTTCTCCAATGAGATTCCCCTGGTGATCCATTCATAATTGTTGAAACGGAAACTAGCTACTGTATAGCAACTAGACTTAATACATAAGTCTCTCTGTGAATATGTATAAATGTCTCCCTTTGTGTATCTGTATCTCTATTTATGTACCTGTAAGCGCTTGTTTGTTTATATATAGACACGAACACATACAAATATAGGTAGTCCTCAACTTATAACCACAACTGAGCCCAAAATTTTTGTTGTTAAGTGAGACATTAGTTAAGTGAGTTTGCCTCATTTTACAACTTTTCTTGCCACAGTTGTTAAGTGAATTAATGCAATTGTTACGTTAGTAACCTGGTTGATAAATGAACCTGGCTTCCCCATTGACTTTGCTTGTGAGAAGGTCACAAAAGATGATCCCATGACCTTGGGACCCAGTAATGGTCATAAATATGAACCAGTCGCCAAACATCTGAATTTTGATCACTTAATCATGGGGATGCTCAAAGGTCGTAATTGTGAAAAACAGTCATAAGTCACATTTTTCAGTGCCGTTGTTACTTTGAACAGTCAGTAAATGAAGTGTTGTAACTCGAGGACAACCTGTACACACACAGATATTTAATTTAGTACTAGATAAGGAGACCACTCAGTGCTCAGAGCACAAGGGCCCACAGCTCAACTGCATATCTTGTCAATACCTGAGAATTCTTAACGTTGGATGTGCCAGAGAATCACTCAGAATGTTCACCTCTTTTCTGCTTCTGATCTCTGCAGATTCCTGGAGTCTCCCATCATGCTCGCCTCCAAGATCTCCTGCTTGCTGGTGGTCTCTCTGACTTTTCTTCTGGGGACTCTGCTTGTCTTGCCAAGCCAAGGGCAAACCTGGGCAGCCTTCAAGAATAAGCACATTGACAGCAACAGTCAATATCCACCTCTCAACCCCAACTTATATTGTGAAAACCAGATGCGGTTTCGGCACATGACCAATCCTCGTTGCAAACCCCATAACACTTTTATCAATGCACCTGACTACTTAGTCCAACAAATCTGCCAAAACATCAGAAGCCCAACTCCCATTACCAGCAGATTTTCTTTCAATTTGGTTGATTGCAATCATACTGGTGGCTCTCCTCTTTATCGCTGTAACTATCGAGGAATCCCGCAGACCAAACATGTTCGTGTTACCTGTGACAACTATGTTCCTGTTCACTTCGTTAGGATTATATGAGAAACAAAGAAGTAAAACTCGCCTCCCATCTCCTAAAGACGACCATGGAAACTTCGACCAAGAATTCAGCTCAACTTTGCTTTATCTCTTCATTTCAATTATATCAAGCCTACTTTTGAAAGGAAAATATATTTTAACAAAAATTGTTAGATCTGGACATGTAGTTTCGAAGCCAGTGACTTTGCACTTCCAATTTGCATGACCTCATTCCATCCTCTTTCTCTATACGGTCCATAGTTAGCAACATAGCTGTCCTCTCTTCCTATCCCCTCAGCTTCTCAGAATTAATCTGATGCTAAACCTGAATCTTACTGGTAGTGGAGATATAAATCTTCTGCACATTTGCATAATAAACTGCTTTCTGCTCAATACAGAGTATTGCTGTGGCTGAGTAACGTTCAAAATGTACATTATGCTTTTTCTTTCCATTCCATTCAGCAAAAAGGATTAGGGATGATACAATAACAGTGTTCCATATTTGAAGGGCTGCCACAAAGATGAAGGGGGTAAACTATTTACCAAAGCACCAGAAGGCAAGACAAGAAACAATGGATGGAAACTAATGAAGGAGAGAAGCAACATAGAGCTAAGGAGAAATTTCCTAACAGTGAGAACAATCAACCAATGGAATGCCTTGCCTTCAGAAACTGGGGGTGCTCCATCACTGGAGGTTTTCAAGAAGAGGCTGGACAACCACTTGTCTGCAATGGTATAGACTCTTCTGCTCATGCAGGGAATTGGACTAGATGATGTCTCCAATGTCCCTTCCAACTCTGTTATTCTATGCTCTAATATGTAGTGGACTCAAATTGCAAATTATCCAGGAAGTTGGAAAGCTGCTACAAACCACGTAATGACTAAAGACGGTTCAAGAGTTCCATATGACACTTGTGGAAATATTTGGAAATTCTTATTGGGACTCTTCAAGTTCTACCCAATATCTGAACAACCCAAGAGAAACACTCAAGACCTTGGAATGACCTCTTGATTTCTCACTTATAAGTTATAACTCAATCCTTCCCTCTATCCCATTCCACTCCCTTGACAGTCCTGACCAATCAAATCAATCCAACTAGATATATTCCTCCTTTAGGGTCCTTACATTTAGATGTTCAGTTTCTTATTCTCCTATACTATCAAGACTAGAATTCATTTTTCCCATTACTAAAATCTCCAAGATTTTCCATAGAGTCCACCATTCCTGTCTTAATCTTTCAGGTCAACACTAAGTTTTGTAATTAAAAAAAAAACCCTATAATAGGCTGAAAGGTAAAATTAACAGGATTTCCTTAACGATGAAACAAAAAAATCTTCAAATTCAACACTGGAAAACCTGTCCTCAACCACCCAAGACAGCGTTTAAAGCTAGTCCTTTGTTTCCCATTTAGCTTTGTAGGTTTATCTGCAGCTAGGTTCACATAGGCAGTCCCATTGAGTGCAATTAGCTTGGCACTCCATGCATCTACTCCCTTTTCTTTGATTTAGTGAAGCCAAGGTTGAAAAATCCTGCAACCTGACATGCAGCCTCTTTTCCATACTGGATGGGGAACTCTGGGTATTCTATCCTCACCACACATTACCCTGTGTGTAGATTGACATGCAGCTAAACCATCTATCCTCTAACAAACCAAACTGTATGCATATATCTTGATGCTTTATTGAAGGAACAGGATGAGTTGAAATTGGGAAAAATAGAAATACATACAGTAAGAACCTGAATGCAAAATAAAGAGTGTTGAGTTGCTGGTGAGCATAACAATTAGCAAATGCAGATAAAGTTCAAGTCTCACCAGCAACACTATACATATGGAACATGGATTTTGTCCTCTGATGAATATGCATCACAGATTAGGATGCACCTAATGCATCTAGAGTTGAACAAACATTTTATACTGGGAATCATGATTGGAAGATTATCTGAATGTTTGAACTATGTATAGCTACTTTCTTTTTTCTTACTGTTAAGAAAAATGACTTAAGTTGTTGTCTAATTCTATACTCCCTTTTTATGACCCTGTAATCCCTTAATTTGAGGTAGAGTTGGGGCGACTGTTTCGATTAGTACAAGAGAAATGTATCCTTTTGTGCTCTCTCTCTCTTTCTCTCTCTCTCTCATTATGTGTGTTATTTGTGTATGTGTGTAAAATCACATTTTAAGAACTGACTTCAAACAGAAAACTAGCAAGAGCTTCTGAATGTAAAAAATTATGTTTCTATTCTTCAACTTGAACATCACAGGAATTGATCATATTGGGAAGGAAATAAATGAAATGATTCAAAAAAATGTTCATGTCCATGCCATATAATGTATTTTATTCCTTAATTGTTCCATTAACTGATACCACTCCACTGAAAGGAATTTGGGAAAAGTTTATGGATGATCAAGACTCAAAGAAAATGTCAACATAATTCAGTTAAATGGGTATTTTATTATTTTAACTATTAGGCAACTTCCCCAAGGAATCTGAAATGTAAATAACTGTCAGTGCAGAATATAAAACTGCTTTTCCAGAGTTTCCTGTTAAAATTTCGTATGCAAACATAAGACCAGAAACTCTTAATACCAAGTACTATTAGTTGTATTGAGCATGATCTGTATGAATTGTGTCTAAAAGAATGTCTCTTTAAAAATGAGGTCTTGAGGTAGACTGAAGATGACAGAGCTATTCTTCTGTAGGCCCACTTCACATGAACCTCACATCTTTTGGAATCAGAATCTCTTCCCTACAATCCATGCTTGCAGATGTAGGCATTCAGTTTGTGACATGCGGTGTTATTCCATTTTGTGAAATCTATGAGGAAGACGAACAAGCAGTGATTAAAGAATGGAATAACAGCCAGCCAGGCAAGGCATGATTATCCTAAAATGGACCAAAAGCGAAAAGGGGCTCTAACACCATAGTTCATAATCTTTCTAGCTACAATACAAGATAATGATAATGATAATGATGATGATGATGATGATGATGATAACAACAACAACAACAGTTGGAAGAAACCTTTCAGGTCATCTAGTCCAACCTCCTACTAAGCACGAGACCATATACTATTATGGACGAATATCTGTCCAATCTCTTCTTAAGAAACTCCAGTATTAGAGCACCTGCAACTTCTGTAGGCAAGACATTCCACTGATTAATTGTTCTCACTGTCAGGAAATTTATTCTTAGGCCTAGATTGAATCTCTCTTTCCATCCATTAATCATTGGCATCCTTCAGTCTCGAGAGACTATGGTATCGTGCTCTGGAAAGAGGTCCTAAGGCCGCATCTGGTGTGGCTAAAAAGGCCAATTTGAAAATGGCAGTCCCTTCCACACTGAGGGCAGATACAATCTGTCCCCTGTCCAGCCCCCACATTTTGCTGGTTCCGGGACTGCCTCTTTGTCTCAGCTTGCCGCACAAGTGTCTCTTCAAATTGGAGAAGGCCATGCTGCGTCTTTAGCCTCCAGGCTGAACGATCAGAGGTCAAGGATTCCCAGCTGTTAATGTCCATTCCCAAGGCCTTTAGGTCCCTCTTGCAGATATCCTTATATCGCAGCTCAGGTCTCCCTCTTAGGCCTAGATTGAATCTCTCTTTCCATCCATTATTGGAAGATTGCTATCATGTTACCCTAATCCTCTTCTAGACATTCCCAGTTCCTGAAAACATTCATCATATATTTTAGCTCCCAGAGCCCTAATCATCCTTATTGCTCTTCTCTGTACTCTTTCTAGAGTCTTAACATCTTTTTGTTGTGGTGACCAGAACTGGATGCAGCATCCCAAGCACTGTATATCCTGTCTTGTTCTCAATCAAGACTCATGGGTTCTGCTGGACATTCAAGCTAATACCCTGTTCTAGTTTGTTGTTTTAGTTGTTTAATTTTAAGATGGATATGACTTGAATCAATGCCATTATGCATGGTCAGGAAAACCTAATCTTCCTCTCAATACTTTTTTTTATATAAAACATCCTACCACAAAAGGGTTCATTGATATCTCTTAATTAAAACATACTCCTACCACTATGAGTAAAGAGATAGTTTCTCTTCTCCATATCTAGTGTCCCTGTTCCAGATCAGGCCATTATGGACTTATGGCAAAATAAATAAAATAACAAATCATAAAGGGATTAACCAGTTCAGTTTAGTAATTTACATCCAGGTAGCAAGAGGTATGGATGACTGAGCTACTATCTTAGGGGTCTGTGACAACTCAGCTCAGCCAACTCACTGCAGCCAACTTGCTGTGGCCAATTCTCCACAGCCAACTCACTGCAGGACAACTTAACATGGCCAACTTGGCATAGGACAACTCACCAGCAGACAAGAGTTTCACTAATATTGAAGAAACAGTGGGATATAATCAATAAAGAAAGGATGCCAAAGGAAGGACAAAATGAAAAGTGAATGAAAAAATTAAAATATTTTTAAAATTATTTTAAGTAATTAAATTGAATTGTTGAATTCTCCCGCGGTGAGTTGGCTGCAGCGAATTGGGTGTGGGAAGTTGACTGTGGTAAGTTGGTCCTGGCAAGTTGGCTGCAGCGAGTTGTCCCATTCTGCAATCTCAGGACCTTGGACAGAGCCAAGCAAATAGCTTGTTCCAAAGAAGCTGAAGGTCAGCTAATGTATGTTGTTCCTTGTGTTTCTCTCTTCCTAAAGAAGTAGTGGTCTCCAAACTTGGCAACTTTAAGACTTGTAGATTTTAACTCCCAAAAATCCTTCCTGGGAAATTCTGGGAGTTGAAGTCCACAAGTTTTAAAGTTGCCAAGTTTGGAGACCACTGCTAAAGAATAAAAAAGGTCTCAGTTCTGATGGAAATAAATTCTACTGCTTTTCTTTTAGTTTCAAATCCCTCAGCTATTGGTGCTAATAAAGTGGACTTGGGAAGGGTGGGGGATCTAACCAATAGCTCCTGGACCACATGTTTAATTAATTCCAGTAGCTATTACTTGAATTCTCAAATGCATAAAATCTTAATATGGTTTGCTTGGTTTAAACTTAGTTTTTTTAACTTAAACCTTGTAAACCAGACCATTGTAACCTATTCAACAAACCACACTAAAACAAACCATAACTTAGCATGATCACTAAAGCCAGCCATTGACTGATAGGCTCCAGATGAGGTTGAATGTAGGAAAATGAGATTTAGACCTGCTTCTGTATGGTTTGCTCTTAAGGTCTTCCTACTGTGATTGATGCACACTTATTCAAGAACAGGTGCTATTTCATTCACCACCACATAGGTGGTTCAGGTGAGGGCAAGGAATTTTACTGAACAGGAGAGTGAAGCCTGCTGGCAATATGTTTAAAATATTCACCTCTACGGTCTCTGATGGGTGCTTCTTCATATTGATGATAGGACTCTTTAGGAACATTGGCTTTGTGTACAGGACGGACCAACTCAACACAATATTCCTTTGTTCCCAGGTTGGGTTTTCCCAGCATCCATGCCTTGTAGTTGTAGGTGGATTCATCGGACCATCTCCATTTTCCGTTCTGTATGGTGAAAAGAGCAAAAAAATAATGCAACAGGCTCAAACATGAATAAAGCTTTGGTTCCATATCTGATTCCAAGGGCTTTGAAATAAAAGTTGGGAAAACCAAGAAAAACATGGGAGAGAGGGAAAGAAATAAGGAGATCCTAAAGGCAACTGGCCTTTCTTTGTTTTCCCTTGAAGAGATTTCGCTTCTCATCCATGAAGCTTCTTCAATTCTTTTTCTGGGTTAGAGTTTTTTTTTTAAAATATATTTTATTGGTTTTATAATTTTAACAAAAAGTGTTTGAGACACACCGTGGTGTTTGGGTAAACAAAGATTCCAACATAAAATCACAGAATAACAGCTCAACTTAATACATTTGCTATCATCTCTCTATTTCCCTCAAATAACATAATAAATTTAATATATTTCATTTCTATCCTAAATTTCTATTACTACTAAACCTGTTTATTAAAAGTTTATCAATTTCAATTACCATAATCAAATAATGTTTTACATCAACATATTACCCCTTCAAATATCTCTTGCAAATATATTCAAGTTTTTAATCTCTCTCATCCCTTTTTTATCACCAATCTTATTTATTTCTTCTTCCAATAATAGCTAATTTAATTTAAAAAAGACAATATTATCATATCTTATCAAATTGTATTATTATACACAAATATCTCTTAATTAATTAAACATTACACATATATATAGTTATAATTTTCTTACTTCTAAATCTAGATCATTATCTCTATGGGTTAGAGTTTTCAGTGGGCTTTCAGTTCTTCAGAACTGAAGAAGCTTCTTGGATGAGAAGCGAAGCCTCTTCAAGGAAAAACAAAGAAAGGCCAGTTGCCTTTTGAAAAAAACACCTTTGGGACACCCATGACCTGGATGACTGAGAATCTCCATAGACAAATAGGGAAATCCCTATGAAAAGACCACTGAAGGGAAAAGAGCAGAACAGTAAAAGAAAATGAGAACCTAGAAAAGCCATTTTTTTTTATGATTTGGATTCCAGACTATTTGGCAACCAATGCCTTATCTCTGGCATTACAATAAGAATCAAGGAGAATAAAGAAAGGAACGGCCATCTTGCAGGCCTTACACTGTGTTACCATTGACTAGCTCAGTTTATTTTTTATTTGCATCCTGCCTTTATTGTTATTTCACCAAAGCAGTGAACATATCCATCACATCTTCCTCCTATTTTCTCCACAACAACAGTCTTGTGAGGTGGGCTGGGCTGAGAGAGAGTGACTAGCCCAAGTTACCCAAGCTGGTTTTCATAACTAAGGTGGGACTTGAACTCACAGCCTCCACCTTTCTAGTCTGCTGCTTTAACCACTAGACCAAACTGGTTCTTTGGATGATGAAATGGCAAGTATAGCTTTCATGTGTACAAGCTTTCTTATTTCCTCTGAGCAGCCTTAGGCAAAAGCAGCACAACATTTGAGCAATTTAAACTCCTTACACAATCCTTCCTGAGGCAGAGGACTAGAGGACACCAGATATTTTGGCTTGGCAACCAAAATGAACCAAGAGAGGGAAGAACTCAGGAATATTTCTGGAGAGTAAATATCTTCTCTGAACGGTGAGTTTTGTTCCCACATTTAAAGCCCTACTGAAAGTTTGATCATTTATATGTTTCCCAGAGCGGAAGCTCCGCCTGGGAGCACAGATAGCCCAGGATATTATAAAAAAATATTTATGGGAACATTGGAAAGGATTATGTAATCCACATGGTTTGGAATTTCTGGAGACTTGAAATCTCAACACATTTCTACTGCCAGAGCTATGGCCGTGGGGCACACCTTGCCTCCATCCTTACCAAAGCAGAGACTCTCCTGGTGGCTGAGCATATCTCCACTTACCAACGAGAACTTGCTAAAGTCTGGATTGGACTTCATGATGTCCGTCAGGTGAGATCATCTGATTTAACTCTGCTCCTGTTTAGCACTGCCAGAGAGGGGCACAATGTTTATTGACTTGTCTAAATCCTGTAGACTCTTGCTCCATAATTGGCCAATATAAAATTCAATGCTTCTAATTATAAACAAAAATTACCAGTCAATCTTTAGACAAAGTTCTCATTCTCTTAAGCACATTTCCTTTGTACAGACCGGGAAGTGGAGATGGGCTGATGAATCCACTTATAACTACAAATCCTGGGTGAACTATCAACCAGATAATTATGGAATCGGCTCTTCAAAATTTTGAGCCCACTTAACCATACAATCCTTAACTAATTCTGTTTCTGAATCCAATTCCACTAAAACATTATAAACTCTTTTTATATGGGCTCGATTTTGGTCTTTAATTTGTTTCACCAAATTCACATCTTCCGTAATAAAACCCACTTTTTGATCTATACTCCATCTTTCTAATAACTGCCTATACTGAAACCAAGAATAAATAATATTTTCTTGCATTAATTCCTCCATTGATTTTAATTGCCACTTATTCCCTTCCCACTTAAGTAATTGCTTGTAAGAAATCCTATCCATTTTCACTCCTTTCCTTATCCCTTCTATAGCATGCCCAGGAATTCCCCACAATGGTATTCTAGAATTTAATCTATAATATTTCTTCCAGACAAGCAATAAAGCAGTTCTTAAGACATGGGATTTAAAAACCCTGTCCACCTTTTTATTATAAATTAAATACGCATGCCATCCAAATAATAAATCCCATCCTTCCAAAAGAAGCATATCTGAATTTGTTAAGTTAACCTAATCACTAATCAAAGTTAAAACCACCGCATCATAATACAATTTTAAATTCGGCACCTTGAGTCCACCTCTCTCTCGAACATCTTGAGTAATTTTAAGCTTAACTCTTGGTTTTTTCCCTGCCCAAATGAATCTATTAATACCCCTCTGCCATTCTTCTAAATTTACCTCTTTCTTTAAGATAGGTATCATTTGAAACAAGAAAAGAAATTTTGGCAAACATTCATTTTAACTGCAGCAATTCTCCCTAACAAAGATAATTGCAATTTTTTTTTTACCCGTCGCAGATACACAGTGATGGAAAACAAAGAAATAATGATCTGTTACTACAGATCAAGTCCAACAAGAAGAGGATATCTAAAACGAATGCACCAATTCTGGAAAGAACAACATCCAGAATCAGAAATAACAGAACAGAGACTAGCAGATCAACGCCGATTTATAACACGAAATAAAGTATTCACAGAAACAGAATTGGACGAACTGCAAAGGTTTACCCAGAGCAAAGAAATCAAAGCCTTACCAGAAGTAATTCAGAATGTAGAGGCAAACCAGGGGGAGTTGGCAGTGAAGGAATCCAGCAGAGATATACAACTGTTCTCATTTGGAAACCAGGCACCTCTTCCTCAGGAAGAACAAAACCCTCTAACTAAAGAAATAAAAGAATTGAAACAAAGAATAACTGAGCATCTAGAACAGCACAAAAACAACAGAATAAGGCTACCTGCATTGAAGCTTGTTCCAAAGAAACAGCTAGCACAAGCATTAAAAGATGCAAATACTGCAATATCAAGTATAAGCACCAATTCACTGCAAGAAACAAACCAACTAATGTACAGCACAGCTGCAGTTATAACAGAATACCTGGGATGCAAAATCAACAAAGAAGAAAAACAAACAAACAGTGCACCAGAAAAATGGAAGGTTAGACTAGAAAATAAGATCAGCAAGTTAAGATCACATGCAAGCAAGCTAGAACAGATGAAAGAAAAGAAGCTGAAGAACAAGAAGACCAAAGAATACCTAATCAAGAAATACCACTTAGAAACAAGGAAGATCAAGGAAGCACTGGAAATAATAAAGCAACAAATAACAGCTATAGCCAGGAAAATCAGTAGATATGAAGCTCGAATTGCAAACTATAGGCAGAACCTCCAATTTCAATCCAATCAGAAACGTTTCTACCAATCCATCAATGGAGAAACTGCAAGGAATCAGTCAGTACCTGACAAGGAAGAAACAGTGCAGTTCTGGAAGCAGATATGGGATAACCCAAAGAAATACAACAAGGATGCAGCTTGGTTAAAAGAGGTGGATGCAAATAAAACAGAAGTTGAAATGAAAGAACTAGTAATAACAACAAAAATGGTAGAAAAAAGAGCAAAGAAAATCAAAAATTGGTCAGCACCAGGTGAAGATGAACTGCATGGGTTTTGGTTGAAACATCTAACTGTTATACACCCACTCATTGCCAAGCAGTTCAACAATATACTACAAGGAGGAGAAATTGAAAAGTGGCTAACAACTGGGAAAACCTACCTAATAATGAAAAATCCAGCAACAGGGGCAACACCAGGTAACTACAGGCCAATTACTTGCTTACCAACAACTTTCAAATTACTAACTGGTGTAGTAGCTGATGCAGTGCAACAGCATCTAGTTGAAAACAATCTCTTTCCACCTGAGCAGAAAGGAAACCGCCCCAATAGCAGAGGAACAAAAGATCAACTCCCTAGACAAAATGATCTTGGAAAACTGCAAGAGAAGGAAGACCAACCTGAATGTGGCATGGATTGACTACAAAAAGGCATTTGACTCTCTGCCACATGATTGGATAATAAAGTGCCTAGAAATAACAGGAGTCAGTAGAAACATCAGAAAATTTGTGCAAAGATCGATGGCACAATGGAAGACACAGTTGCAGATCAATGGTGAGAGGCTGGGAGAGGTTAATATCAAGAGAGGAATATTTCAAGGAGATTCATTATCACCATTACTATTTGTTATTGCACTGTTTCCTCTGTCAACAATACTGAATAACTCAGGACATGGCTATCAAACATCAAAAACATCTGCCAGACTATCCCACCTCCTTTACATGGATGATCTGAAGCTGTATGGAAAAACATCATCTGAAATAGAATCGCTGCTCAACACTGTCCGTATATATAGCCAAGATATTGTAATGGAGTTTGGCTTGGACAAATGTGCCACACTTACTATCAAACAAGGAAAAATAGTGAAAACTGAAGGAATCAAGATGCCCCACGAAAATAACATTAAGAGTCTGGATGAGGAAGAGTACTACAAATACTTGGGTATCCTTCAAGCTGACAACATCAAGCACACTGAAGTCAAGAAAAAGATTAGAGGTGAATACATCAAGAGAGTGAAGAAGATCTTAAAGTCCAAACTCAATGGAGGAAATACCATAAAGGCAATCAACACCTGGGCAATCCCAGTCATTAGGTACACAGCTGGAATAGTGGACTGGACTCAAGCAGAACTAAAAGCAATGGATAGGCAGACCAGAAAAATAATGACAATGAATCATGCCCTTCATCCACGCAGTGACATTGATAGACTTTATCTACCAAGGCAAATAGGTGGGCGTGGAATGCTACAAGTACATCAGATGGTTGAAGAAGAAAAAATGGCTTTGGAAGAATATCTGAAGAACAATGATGAAGATGCACTGAAATTAGTATATCAGGAAGGCTTACTGACTACTGGAGAGACCAAACTGGCCTACAAGAAAGACCAAATGAAGAACAGAATAGAGGCATGGGAAGACAAAGCACTACATGGCCAATACATGAAAAAAATAGCTGGGAAAGCAGATAATAATAAAACCTGGCAATGGCTAAGAGCAGGAAAATTGAAGAAAGAGACCGAGGGACTAATTCTGGCTGCACAAGACCAAGCCTTAAGGACAAATGCATACAAAGTCAAAATTGAGAAGACAGCAACAGACAGTAAGTGCCGCCTATGCAAAGAAGCTGAAGAAACAGTAGACCACTTGGTAAGCTGTTGCAAGAAGATTGCACAAACTGATTACAAGCAGCGGCATGACAAAGTAGCAACAATGGTGCATTGGAAGATCTGCAAAAAATATCATTTGCCTGTAAGCAAAAACTGGTGGGATCATAAAATAGAGAAAGTCATAGAAAATGATAAAATTAAACTGCTCTGGGACTTCAGAATTCAAACAGACAAGCACCTGCAACATAACACCCCAGACTTAACAATTGTCGATAAGAAAGACAAAAAAGTCTGGATAGTGGACGTGGCAGTGCCTGGAGATAGCAGAATAGAAGAGAAAGAACTGGAGAAGATAACAAAATACAAAGACCTACAAATAGAAATAGAAAGACTGTGGCAAAAGCAAGCAAGGGTAGTACCAATAGTCATAGGCTCCTTGGGTGCAATCCCAAAACAACTGGAGCACCACTTGAACACAATTGGCATTGACAAATTCGCTATTAGTCAATTGCAAAAGGCGGCCTTATTAGGAACTGCTTCCATCCTGCGACGATATCTGTAATACCATCAAACATCCACATCTGCCTATCCCAGGTCCTGGGTAAGGACTCGATAGGTAGACAAAATGCCAAATCCAGTCTGAACATCTGGCTGACTGTGCGATGATCCATAATAATAAAAGTTGGAAGGGACCTTGGAGGTGATCTGGTCCAACCCCCTCCTCAGGCAGCAAACACTATACCATTTCAGACAAATTGCCGTCCAGTCACTTCTTAAAAACTTCCAGTGTTGGAGCATTCACCACTTCTGGAGGCAGGTTGTTCCACTGGTTAATTGTTCTAACTGTCAGGAAGTTTCTCCTTAGCTCTAGGTTGCTTCTCTCCTTGATTAGTTTCCATCCGTTGCTTCTTCTCCTGCCTTCAGGCGCCTTGGAAAATAACTTGACTCCCTCTTCTTTGTGGCAACCCCTGAGATATTGGAATACTGCTCTCATGTCCCCCCTCATCCTTCTCTTCATTAAACTAGACATATCCAATTCCAGTAGCCATTCCTTGTATGCTTTAGTCTCCAGTCCCCTAATCATCTTTCTAGAGTCTCAACATCTTTTTTACATCGTGGTAACCAAAACTGGATGCAGTATTCCAAGTGTGGCCTTACCAAAGTGGTATTAATACTTGTAAAGTGGTATTAATACTTCATGTGATCTTGATTCTATCCCTCTGTTAATGCAGCCCAGCACTGTGTTGGCCTTTTTGGCAGCTGCAGCACATGGCTGGCTCATATTTAAGTGATTGTCCACTAGGACTCCAAGGTCCCTCTCACAGTTACTACTATTGAGCAAGGTACCCCCTATATTATACCTGTAGATTTATGCGTCTTCCTGCCCAAGTTCCATCTTCTACCTATCTATTCTATTAAAATCATGGGTTTTCCTTCTATCTGGACATTTGCTTTATTTTGCATTTTGAAGTCAATGGATAACCCAAAAGCTTTGACAAAAGTTTC